ATGACGATCGCTTTACGGCATATGTGTTTGGTATTGCTTAATTGCATCCTACGGCTCGTACACGTACTTCTAGTTTTCTTCGTCGAATTTATATAACTGCAAGGAAAAATCATTGTGTCTTAACGTCGGGATCACCGTTAATCAAGTAGTAAACAATCAAACTTTTTGTCAAAGCATGAAGTTCCGATCAGAACTTGGAACTTTATGCTTTCAGCAAGATAACAATGGGAACCGAAACTGTTAGAAAGCGAGGGCAGACGCTCTGAAAGCGGTGACGCTGGGAGCGTTGCGCTCGATTTGCTCCGCAGCGCGTCTTACTGGGGTGGACCACGTGACCGATCGCTCACGATGGCCAACCGCTCGACGACTGATAGCGCGGAGCGCTCGGCATTTGCCGGGGGAAGGGTCTATAACCTAGATGTGTATTTGATCTGAGTTGCTCAATCTCTTCAATGTCTACTTTCAGGTGCTCGACGCTTGTCGCTGAAAATGTCAAAGATATTCTAGTTTTTTTTGCAGGAACGGAGTTACACCTCGAAAGTTCACAAGGTTAAACCTGCCACTAATAATATACTCTTTCGATTAAACTTTGAGCTCGTTTTTTTCCGGCCCGTTTCGGAATTAGCTCCTCTATTTATTCCACCCTATCGGCGACGAGATCTTTCGGTGGTGCCTTCTGATGGGCTAATTCATACGAAGGCGGTGACATATATATATATAAAATCAAGCTATTAAAAATGTAGATGAGACAGCCTGTGCTCGATCTTATCTATAAGCGTTACAATTCGTGGGATGGAGGTACTTGTTCGCAACTGGGTGAGCGAAGTTCCGCACTACGGATGGATAGAAAAGAAGTATAAACACCGGGTGTTTCTGAGAAGGCTTTCCAAAATCGCCAACGGTAAAGTAGATAAAAAAACAAGTTTTTTGCGGGAAAAATTGCCAGTCACGACAGGGGTCAGGGTTTGCGAAAATCGATACCAATGAGCAAACTAGTTACCTGAAATTCGACTAATTTATTTTATAATTTGCGGAAATAAACATACGAATCCAATTACAAAAACTTGTTGAGCGTCATTCAAAACCCCTATATCAGTCAATTTTAAGTAGACTTGAAGCACGTGGAAAGTGCGGGCAGCAAGTTTCTCATTAGAACCATACATATCTATATGCTTATTTTCACCAACTCAAAGGCTAATCAGTTAATTATGTGTAATTAGATTGCTAATATTATGCTTTTTGCAACTCCAGGCATCTGCCATGATAGCAATGCGTTCCCGATTTTTTTTTTTTTTTTTTGTTGAGCTTCCTTGTAGTCATATTGGAACAGGGCGGAGCCTAATGGAACGACGCGGCGTCGTGAGCTTTGTCATATTTGATTGATATCTCGTAAGCATGTGTCTTGAACTGTCGTGCCCGGGGAGTCGGAGTAGCCATGCATCTTCCCGACGTTTCGTACGTCGGATCGGACAGTTTTGACGCGCGTGTGTCTCAGGATTTCCCACGCGAACGGACGCAGGTCACATCACCTAGAATATTCGAGGCCTGCGGACAGCACCCTATATACCTGATCACAACACCATCACACTTGGATGGTGCACCCGACACCGAACGTCCTTCGACGCATTGATTGGATACGAGGCTTGTATAAATAATCCCCTAGAGCAACCTCCCACAAACGTTGCGAAAACTTGCACTGGTGCTCCTACAGAATTGTCCACGGCGCCAGTGCCCACCACACTGATAAAGACGCCATACCCCGCGACCAAGGGAGAGAGGGGACGCCGGGCACCACCTGGCAGAAAACAGGGTTCGAGGATTCCCAAGGTGAAACAATGTCCGCATAGGGAGGGAGAGGAAAGAAGCCTCTTTAAAGGAACCTATAGGGGGCATAAGGAAATTGCCACACTAGAACCTTTTCAAAAGTATGCGCCCTCTCGTAGCTGCTGCGCCAATTATCCGAGACTGCCATTGCTTGGGCATGCACTCTGAGCATGTATTGGACACGAGGGTTGTGTCAGCATTCGGCAAGGACTTGGATCTCATCTCACGCTACGGTGCTCGATGGATGGATGGATGGATGCTAACCGCTGCACCCTTTATAACGGGCAGCAGCTTGCGCCACCTGAAGAATAGCGACCGCCAGTGTTGCTTGAGGGACTTCTGAAAAGGGCCTATGGGACGTTGGGGGAACCAGTCACTACAGCTCAATGGAGTCAGCGAGATCTAGCTTCCTTGGTCGAGGGAGTGACCGTGCACGCCTGAGCATGTGATCACGTATTTTCGTATACAAAACCTGCTGAACCGATGATTTCCGAAACAGCACATTTCTTCCCCCCTTCATATGTTTGCAAATCGTTTACGCGTAGGAGGGCAGAGATAAAGGCACGATGCCTGACGGGCCCTCTCCCCCCCCCCCCCCCCCCCTCATTACAGTTCAGCAACACAATATATAGTTTACAAACTAAGGAACAACTATTGAACAAATATAAAACTACGGAATAAATATGGAATAGCTTTAGAAGAACTATGGAACAAATATGGAGCAACACCAGACATAGAGAACATCGGTCACGCCACTACTACGAGATATAACAAAATGCACAAAATCTTTGGAATCAAGTTTTCTAGGCATCACTTTAAAAAAAATAAGTCTATTTTACAAAAAAAAAAAAAAAAAAAAAAAAAAGAAAAAGAAAAGGAAAAGAACGAAATGAACAGTTCACGAAAAGGACATTGGTTCGAATAAGCTATATGGTGAACACAACCTAAACCGAGGAGCACATTACACAATTGAAAATGTAATGTAGTTTAACACCAGCATCTTTCTGCAATGTTTCCTGAAAGTATATAACGCTTGATCAAAATCTGTCTATATCTGTTCTGCTTAAAGTTCTAATTATCTGATAAGTTAAGGCTTGCCGACCAAAGTTCGTCCTTATGGCTGCTTATCTGTATCCATTGCAGGAGTTTGAAATAATAGATCTGGTCTGCCTTCAGCCTATTATATCTGATAAAGAATGGCAGTGTGCGGAGATACCTTCTATCCCCTTTATATCCCTTTTCCCGTCTTGGCGGCGGATCAGTTTGCTTTTAATGATATTTTGTCGCTAAATGCGGTGGTGCTAAGATTAGAAACTGCTATATTCGACCACTAACACTGGAAAGTTTTAGTAAATCGTTCGGGTACCTCCGATACCCCCGATAACGATAAGACGCATTCGCAAAGGCGGCGACGGAGTATGGGGTATCGTTATCGGAGCAATGAGAACGATCTACTAAAACTTCTTACTGACATCCCTTACGCCGGTACCTCGTCCGTCCGAACGGTGGGGATAAGGAGGGAGTTGTGTCCGCTGCTGACGTCATGAACATCCAACCGCGGGTTTTCGCTTCGTGTTAATACTGCTTTAGCAGCGCTGAACACAAAATCGAGTCGGAGCTCGGTGCCCCACCTATCGACGACTGCACGGGAACTTGACTATACACTCCAATATAAGTATCTTTTTTCGAACAGGTCGGTTGTTAAGGTTAGCGGTAGATCTACAATCATAATCCAAGACGGTTGACCCCCCCCCCCCCCCCAAAAAAAAAAAAAAAAAAAATGATTGCATTTCTACGTGTTGAATGATGTTGATAGGGGGCGAAGCTCTGGTGGTGCTTGTCTGCGTAGACGCTGAGCCGCAGCATGCCGAGCCTTTCGTTCGTTTTCATCCATGTCAGAAAGAGAATGTGCGGTATGGAACGTGGTTATATACGCATTTGAGCATTTGACCGCAGCGCTCACTCCTGCATAGACGTTGAGCGGCTACATGCAACGTTTCCTCCACGACATCCCCAGCTCTTGAGTTACTACCACATCTCAGAGCACCCTACTCGTCCCGCAGTCGTGGCCTAGTGGTTAAGGCGATGGACTAGAAACCCATTGGGGTCTCCCCGCACAGGTTCGAATCCTGTCGACTGCGCAAACATTTGTTTTATCATTTCTTTTTTGCGCTACACGAGCACGTGAGCATGTGCTCACGTGCTCGTGAGCTCACGAGCACCAGCAATATCGATGTGAGCACGAACGCCGGACGGACAAGGCTAGACCCTAAGGAGCTTCGCCCCTAAAACGTAATGAGCCTAATTTCCGAGCCGATAGAGCGCAACTCAGATGCGCCCCCGCATCGGTTGCAGCTCCTATCACACCGGTGTAAGGCGGTGAAGTATAGTCACAGACGAGGCCGAACGGTCGCAATACCGTTTTCCACAATCGCCGCGTGCGTGGTAGCGCCGCACGCTGCTGTTCAAGGGCTTTATTTTATCTTTGTCGCATTGTTTAAGCTTATTTCAGCGGAAGTGTGGCACACTTCCTCACGAAAACTGTTTTGGCAAAGTCTTTTCGAATCGCCACGGCACCCACTCTCCTGCATCTTGTTTAATTTTTGTTGTGGTCGTAAAAGCTGTTAGCAGCTAACCAACTCGATAGCTGGCAACCGGTTAAAAATTCAGTAGACGCTCCAAAGTATTAGCGAAGGCAACGCGAGCTTAGACGAAGTTTCCATTTCTATGAAACACTTTGCAAAGTATACTTAAGACTTATTCTTAGTTTACTAACAACATTTAACCACATACATTCAGAAAGCACACCTCACTTGGCAAACTGTCGATGCGCGGACCACACCTCTAAATTATTAGGTATATTAAAAGCGTAATTAAACAAGAGGAAGATACATAGGAAGGGAGGACGTTGTCCGACCCCCCTTTCTATGTATCTTCCTAATGTTTCAATTACTGTTACCAACACGCTCGTTTTGTACATAATTAAAAGCGTGTAAAAACAATAATTAAGATATCGAACGTCCGCGAAAAATAGGTGTTAAGTGTACTTTTTTTGTTTCACAAAAATACAAAGTTAGTTGTTTTGTTTTCATATTGCTTTTCACCAGGACGGTCCCTCCTAAAGACGCTCTTTCTTGCCCCAGAAACATGGACGAAGGAAGAACGGCGGTCCCTACCTTGAGCACGAGCATGGATCCCGGCACCACCCCTAGCTGTGCGAGGGTGGCCGCGTTCTCCGTGAGTGGCGTCACGCTCCGCCCGTCGTCTTCCTCCAGAGCCAAGTGCTGGTCGAAGGGTGCCACCGAGAACGCCCGCATCACCTGTCCAAGCACGATCGGGGCACCTTGCAGGCCACGTCAAAGGCACAACCCAAACACACACACACACAAAAAGTGATGCAAAAGTGGTGGAACAGAAGCATATTTACACCTCACTAAAGACAAAATCGCCCGGCTTAGACATTCCGTCAAATGCAATGAGGTGCGATTGCACTAATACGCAGTTCTTACCCGACTGCGAACCCGCATGCCTACGCAAGCGGAAAGGGGGAGAGGGAAGTGGTAGCGCACAGCTTCCTTCCTGCCCCCCCCCCCCCCTCCCTCTCCCTCCCTCCCCCCTCTTTTATCCGTGCGGTGCAAAGCCATTGGCTGCACGCGCTACGACGTCAGCTACGCCTGCACTTCGTTGCTGACAATCTCCCATGGCCTTTCTTGGTTCTTATCCATTTATGACTACAGTCTGTTGTATCGTAAGAACGGCAGGGGAGGTTCCATCCTCGAAGATCCAGATCTATCACTGCGCCCCTCGGTATAAACGGTATACAAACACACCACTTTTTTGATGTCACCACAAGAGAGGAGCAGCCGTCAGTACCCGATTTTCCAAACCTGGCGCCCAGAAAAACGAAGCGCCGCCTAAGGCGGCCTATACGAGTAGGTGCACCGAACATGGAACTGAGCGTTGTTCTTTTGACGGATGAGTCTCTCCCGAACTTCTTACGTTGCAAATGATTCCGTTCCACCTTGCGATGGATCACAGCTGACGCTACAGAGCCTCTACGAAGCTCTGCCCTTCAAAGGCTGAGAACGGATCATGTGACTAAGCGTGTCGCTGCGCTCACCCCGGAGGTCACGTGACACTGACACGGCATCCGATTGGCTCCGATGGTTCATAGCGTTCGCTGCGGTCCATCGTAAGGTGAAACGGACGGTAGGGTCAAGCGTTTGCATGCGTTGCTCGGTCTGACACTCGAGGCGCAACTTGCCGCACCTGGACTTTGAGGTCGAGCAGGGTCTGGGAGGCCGCAATGTGGATCTCTCTCTCGCCCCTGCGGGGTCGGCGCCGGGCACTGCAGCGGCGGGGCACGAAGGACTCCTCGGCCGGGGTCGGCGCCGCAGACTCGTCGCCGTCCAGCCGGGGTTTCTTGGTCTGGTCGTGCTCCAGCTCGCTGCTGCTCACGCGCCGCACAAACACCAGGCCCTTCTGGCTGCAGGACCGCTCGAGCTGGGCTGACGCCCGGCACGGCTCGCACGGCTCTGCGGGCAAGACCCCACGAAAGCATCTTGTAGGACCGTCTTGACCAGGACAGCCGTACATGTGCAATTTTAGCGAAGCTAACTCGAATTTTCTGTCGTCCGAAGCGTGCCTTCGGATGGCAGCAGAGTCTGCTAAGACGCCGCAAATCTGCAAATGGCGGTCTGATCGTTAAGGCCCGTTCACACTCTTGCGACCGAGTACGACCAGTAGAGACGAGATCTCTTACAACTTCTTAAATGTTTTTAGAATGAGGGAACATACTGACATTGTGGCGCCATCTATGCGGTGACCCTGGAACTGCATTTCACAAGAGCGAAGGTTTTGCGGGATTTTCGAAGTCAAATGTGCGTAATACCCATAGAAAGGCTCGTTTATAACATTGTCAAAAGTTTTTCGAGCCAAGAAAGAAAGGATAATTCTCGAGAAATAAAAAAAAAATATGTCGGGCCGCCGAGTTTACACTGCTTCCCAATAGATGGCGCCAGTGTGTTTTCTGGTTTAACAAGTTTTAAGGAACCCAGGTTTAAGAGATCGCAAGAGTGTGAACGGGCCTTAAGACTAAGCAGAGCTGCTTGTAATACGTCAGCATTAGAACGCTTGTTTTTACGTAAACCTGGCGGTGTCTTTCGTTTGTCAGCGCCAAGGAGAGAGGGAGAAGGAGGGGGAAAGGGTGACTCATGCGACGCTCCCATTGGTCCGAAGCGCTGACGTCAGCACGCGTCAACCTCTCCCTCCCTCCCCGGCCCTGAGAAACTGACAGACACCGTCGGTTTTTCGTCAAAACAAGCCCTTCCGTTTTTTGTCGAAGTCATGCGCACAGCTGGCGCCGAGTCAGAGAGGAGTAGGCGCCGTGCAACACCTCCTAGACAACAAAGCTCTAGTGCTGAATGAGATGGAATCAACAGAAAAAGCCAACGCAGGACACGGATTGGACATGCGTGCTGCGTCAGCGCTTGGCTTCGAGTAAAGCTTGAGCCGAACGTTGACGCAATCGTCATGCTCACTCTGTGCCCAACGTTGGTTGGCCTTCTCTGATGACGCCACGTGATTTAGGGGTATTGCGCTGTGGCATGGTGGAATGCGAACATGCTCAGTTGCCACTCTGTTGTCGCCGGTTGTTCGTCGCTCTGGGTTTCCGGAGTAGTGGTGTGGTCTGTGATGTGTTTTTTACAGCGGAGCTGTTAAGAGCTAGGTTCCTCAAGATCGTGTCCGTATATGTCGACACAAACCTACCTGGACAGCTACCGCTATCTATAAGCGACGGCGGCAAGCACACAACCGGTATGGTTGCCGCCGTCGCTCGTAGATGGCGCCAACCTTTCCAGAATAAAAGAATGGATAGTTGGGCGCGTTGGTGGGAATTCACCGTAGGAAACAGCGCGAAAAACAAAAGACAACGAAGAAGAAGCACACAGTGTATCGAGTACAGCTCCGCTGGTCTTCCTTCTTCACGAAAGTGGAAAGGCAGAACGTTTTTCCACAAGTGATATGGATGACCATATCCAAGGGCATCAATTAACATACTCTGACAGGAAGAGTACAGAAAATGAGTGAAAAAATTACAAAAAGATCCATTGGTGGATGCTTAGGGAATCTTTTCCCCTTTAGGAAACACTAACACTGACCCGCAACAAGGCCTAAAAGAGGCAGCGAAAAATAGAGAAAGTAGAAGAAAAAGCCAAAAAAGAAAAGTGAAGGGGTCAGTGTTAGCATTTCCCAAAGAAGGACATGTGTGGCGTTTCCAAGGGTCATTCTAACGCATTCCCTAAGAATCCACCAATGAATCTTCCAGTAAATTTTCTCTTCTTTTTTAATGCAACAAGTGAACAACAAGTTTGATGTGAGTTGTAATGAGCATGGTGAAAGCTTGAAGTCATTGCACTCTCAAAGCAACACCACCAATACCGTCAAAATTAAAGTTCTTACATTCCTCTTATATCCGACGATGAGAAATATTTGCTGATGTCAAAGTCAGCATTCGGCCAATTGCGTAAGGCCGGTCACAGCGACACTTTCAATCTCCGCTTGTGCGGACAAGCCTGTGCAATTGTAATCTTGCTGAACTTATGTTCACCCGTAAGCTGAACGTGATTGCACGCATGGGGCACCAAGCTTGCAATTGTTGTACAACGCTGTCAAAGCTGCTAGAGTGAGCATGGGCTTTATTTCACAGTTCATATGTGCAAATTCTCGGGCAAACGAAACCATAGATAACGTTGCCATAGATTAACCCTTCGCTTGCGCCACTAGCTTTGAAAGCATTGCATAGACAATTGCAGGCATGGCAGCTGACTTGTGCCCCATGAGTGAAGGCACGTGCAGCTTACGCGTGAACATGGCTTTGGCAAGCTTGCACTTGCACAGGCTTTTCCCCCCGAGCAGAGACATGGCGGCAACCAGTCACCTTGCTTGCAGTCGTCTATGCTAAGCATAAAAGCTGCCAAAAGCTGCGGTTTCTGGCAGCTGTCCAAACCAGCAATGAAGAAAAAAAGAGGTAAAAAGAATGCGGTGACGCTTCAGCAGGTAAGCACAGCAGAAGGTAACGAAATTGGCTCTGCCAAAAGCCCCGGAAAACCGCAGAATTAGAGGTAGAAAAAATGAGAAACTGCTTCGAAAGGTTTGCACGTTTAGAAGCTCACAGATTTGGCCAGCTACCAAAAGATGTAAAAAAGAGGTAGACAGGACGTGGAGGCTCAAACGAGACAAGATCGCACAATGAAAGGTAGCGAAATTGGCAAACCAACAAAAGCCCCGGAAAACCGCAAAAATAGAAGAACGTAGAAAGCTGAAGGAGGCGACGTTTTGAAAAGACTGCACAGTAAAAACTAGCAAAGTTGGCCAGGTGACAAAAGCTGGGAAATCGTAATAACAATTAAGAGAGGCATAGAAAGAAAAAACGAGGGGACGCTTCAACGCGACCGCACAGCAAGTAGCATAGCTGGCCAACTGCCAAGAGCCCTGAAAAACCGCAAAATAAAAAGAGGTAGAAAGGGGAACAGGCGAAGCTTTAAAATACTACACAGTAGAAGCTACCAGAGTTGGCCAGCTGCCAAAAGATACCGGAAACCGCAATAACACAAAGTAGAAAGAACGAAGATACCGGACACCGTAACAACAAAAGAGGCAGAAGGGAGAACGGTGCGACGCTTGAAGATAATGGCACAGTTGAAGGTAGCAGAACTGGCCAACTGCAGAAAGCTCATGAAAACTACAAGAGTAATGATGAGATAGAAATGATAACGAGGTGCTCCTGAAAACCGGAATTACAAAAAAGAACGAGGCGACGTTTCAACAAGAGGGCACAAAGGATTCCACGTCAAAATGTCCAACGAGACGAAATGTACAACCGGTCAGAATGTCCAATATTGGACATTTCGTCTCGGTGGACATTTCGTCTCGTTGGACATTTTGACCTGCTTGGACATTTCGTCTCGTTGGACATTTTGACTCTTTGGACATTTTGACCCGATTGGACATTTCGTCGTTGGACATTTTGACTCTTTGGATATTTCGACCCGATCGGGCATTTCGTCTCGTTGGACATTTTGACTCTTTGAACATTTTGACCCAATTGGACATTTAGAATCGGTGGACATTCTCACCCAATAGACATTTTGACCTCTTTGTATCGTTGGCCCAGACTCTGGCACTGCATAATGCTGAGACGGACGTCTTTAGAATTCCGAATACTTACACGCGCCCCGGGTTTTCGCTGAAGCGGTAGTAGTGTGATGACTTAAAGAAATCTGACAAACATTTTTTTGGAAAAAACAAAATACTTCTAATCGCAAAAAAAAAAAAAAAAAAAAACTGATATACGTTGCGGACGTTGAAAGTCCGCTAAAATGTAACCCTGGCGGTTGAAAGAAAATGTCAAATTTCAGATTTGTGCTCTGGTTAAAAAGTGTGTGTGTGTGTGTGTGTGTGTGTGGGGGGGGGGGGGTGATTTTCTTTTTTTCTTAATAAACAAATGGGGCCCGTTCCCGGTGACGGACGCTATTCATCTTCATGTATTCGCGGGCTCTGTTGACCACCGTTTCAGCACTGAAAATTTCTAAGCATTGCCTTAAATGAATCAGACTACGCTATGTTCCGAAAAATTGGGTTAATTGCTCCAGCCGCTGGAGCTATGTACTGGCGGGGTTGGTGCTGACTGCGATATCCAGATTATTTTTGCGATGCTTAAAACAGGGTTCCCTTTCTTAACCTGCAAATTAGGAGACCACCTAAGGCAATATAATTAAACGTGATGAATAACGGCAGCAAATGCAATAGTAGATTTTGTAATTAGGATAAGGTGATTGAAGCAAAGATAAAATAGCGCTAACTAAAACTTTGGATTAGGTTGAACATGATTGTAAACCTGAGACTGGGGCAGGAAGAGAACACAACAGAAGGTAGTAGAAGAGGAGGCAGCGTGAGACGTTGCCTCCTCTTTTACTACCTTCTGTTGTGTTCTCTTCCTGCCCCAGTCTCAGGTTTACAATCATGTTCAACTTACACCAGCTCGCCTGCACTCTGACTATTTTTTTGGATTAGGTAGTTGGTTCAGGACTAAAAGGAATGAAAAACGCAAAAAGACACGAACGAAAAAGAAAAAAAGAAAGGTTGTGTTTTATGTCTTCTTTTTCGTCTGTATCTTTTTGCCTCTACAATGTTATCTTATATTGAGCCCATTTTAATGCATAAAAACCAAGAAGGGCGCTTCGTGCCCAGGTCCACGAGGTTCACATGCGGACGTTTGCAGCAGAAGCGTTTAAAACGAGACTCAAGAAGAAATTACTTATTGCACGTGCATTCGTCATTACCTTAGTTTAGTCGTCCACCCCGAATCTTTCCACCGGATAGGGCGATCACATGAATACGCAGTGTGTACGAAGAAACCCAGCATGCTTCAGATTCGGCATCGCATATTACTTTGTTCGCTGCCATCCTAGCTTCCTTCCCTCGATAAAGGGGACAGATGACTGCACCCTCGTTATAATTAAAGTCACAGCTA